TTTTTTTCTTTGGATAATAAGACGATATAATCTTAGTAGAGAGATGAGTGAGGAGGTTGAGCAGAGGTCAGGTAATTTGGTACCACTGACCAGGGCCAGATGGTCTGATGTTCAGGAGGGAGATCAGCAGATAAGGATTATGCGGAGAGGAGAACGTCTATGCACGCTAACCCGCGGGAATCCGGGAAGGGGTGCGGTATGGAGACCATGTCTGGCGTGGAGCTCGCGTGTACGTCTTGGTGAGGGTGTCAGAGTTGCAGAGTATCGAGATATAGCGGCGTGAGATGTGCTGGTGATGTGGTACGATGTCAACACTTGAGTGTAGGAGGAGCTTCTGATCACAGCTGCTGCTGCCTCAAGACTTAGCATTCGTATCGCGATGAACAACATTCGATATCGGTATGGCTTTCGGAGAAACAGGGAGCTGCGTTACCAAAGCCTAATTTGTGCCATGCAGATCCCGAGTGTTGAGGCTTATCTGGGGCTGACCATCTTCATGCTATTCGCAGATACAGCTTGCTGCTGCTGGTGAGGCCAGCGGTGTGGAGGTAAAATGTCGCACGATTCGGTCGTTGGTGCTTGCCTTGGATGCAAGAGCCCATACTTGTACCACCCCCAGTTGCCTTTTTCTTGTGCGACTTTCCCCTCCATCTCTCCTTCCCCTCCCTCCAAGCCCGAATCCTTTGTCTACCTAGTAGCTCTTCATACAGTTTTTGTGCCAGAACAATCGACCTTTTCGACGACTCACACCTCTCTATCACCGCCAACATGTCCGCACCTAGAGCTTACCAATTCATCGCCCTGAGACGTCTCGCAGCTGGTGGCAGCCGTCGCCAGCTTCACATGACTGGCCCTGCTACATTCCCCTCGGCATTGCTTACTGCTGAGCGTCCTGTCTCGAACCTGCCGCGTGATATTGCAGGTCTGAGAGCCGAGTGCAAGAGACGCAAGCTGGACTTCTCTGGCTCTATGCACGATGTAAGCTTCCCCTCAGGATGTTGATATCATGCCTCGCAAGACTGATAAGAATGAAGNCTTATGGGTCGTCTGTCTGCCGATGATCTCACCCACTCTCGTGCTTTCACCACTGCTGTCAATGCCAGCAAGCGTCCCAACGCTGAGCAGAAAGACGATGTCAAGGCTGTCCGTCACTTCAACACTAGCCGTGCACTCAAGGCGGTCAACGACAGCTCTACGATCGACTTTGCCTACTTCCCCGACTTTGACCCTGACAATGCTGAGGCCTCTGCTCTTCGTGTTCCCCTGCTTCCTAACAGTACTGGTGCTCACAGTGTTGAAACTGCCGACAGCGTACGTGAAGCCGAGATTGGTGGTGCTCAGAGCTTGACTGACATGAATTGNCAGATGGTCATGAAACCACAAATCAACACTATGGCGGCTGACAAGATCATAAGCAACTTTTCCGAGGTTTCGGATAACAACGCCATGACGATTGACTTCCACGGCATGGCGGAGCGAATTGCTGCGGCCACCCAGAAAGCGGCTCAAGCACCCATGGCGGAGCAGACTAGTATCCTGAAGCAGTTGTGGAAAGGCATCGTAGAGGACTTCCGGGGTGTGCAGACCAAGCCCGTGGTAGCTTGAAGTTGAGGATCGGGGTGTGGGTGGTCTAGCTGAATTTATAATGTAGACGGCTGTCGACGGAGAATGAGATAACCATGGGCGGGAGGCCTGTCATTTCCCACAATGCTTCGATGCTAATGTGACGTGGTGTGAAGGAGCAAGCTTGGAAAGTTGATGGAAAGCTTAATTGTTGCATGATAAGTTGGCGTGGTGTGTTTGGCGGAGGTTTGTTGATGGCTCTCTGCGGAGTTTGTTGATGCGGCAACGCTTGCTTCTCCCCTCGCCAGCAATCAATCAAGCATCTTTTGCAATCAATCATACACAGATCAGACCCAGCGCTCCGAGACACCCTTACACAGAAAGAGCATGGCGTCTCCCGACAAGAGCCTGCATTTGAACATGCCCATGATGCCGCCGCCAATGCATTCGCGCGGCGCCAGCGACCTGGGTGAACGACCTCTGACGCCCACCTCCCCGCGACACCAGAACCAGAATCACAATGCGCAAGCCTTCATCTCGCCAGTCCAGACGCCGCAGGGCAGTCCCAGCAAGAACCGCATGCCCCCCGGCGCCTTCGACCTGCCCGATGTCTTCTCCAACGCCATGAAACTGCTACCCACTCTGGGTTCTCCTTCAAAGACACCCAGAAACCAGGACCACAGCCCTACGCGCAAGGGCAACAAGGAGAACACACCACCCACTCGCCCTGGTGCTCAACAACAAGACCATGTCAGCCAGGCTGCTGCGAGTCGCCAGAGCCAGTACCGTGGCCAGGACGACCAGCCCCTGAGCAGACAACGCAGCGTCATCTCTGGCGGCTTAACACAGGAAGAGATCGAGAAGCTGCAGAAACCGACCGTCAAGCGTCTGGCCAATGTGACTCAATTGNNTGTACGTACAACCTTCTTAAACTTACTCAAACAAGCTAACAGTTCAGACTTCCTCGACCACTACTATGATCTCCTCAACTACGTATCCACCCGCCAGAAGCGTACCGAGCTCTTCCACACCCACAACCCTCCACCACCGCAGACTCCCAATTCCGAGTATCAATCAAACATGCAGCAGTACCTCGGCCGCGAACGTGCAAAGCTACGTGCCAGACGTACTCGCCTCAATCACGGTGACTTTGCCATTCTCACTCAGGTCGGCCAGGGTGGCTACGGTCAGGTTTACCTGGCGCAAAAGAAGGACACGCGTGAGGTCTGCGCTCTCAAGGTCATGAGCAAGAAGTTGCTGTTCAAGCTCGACGAAGTGCGTCACGTCTTGACCGAGCGTGACATTCTCACCACTGCCAAGAGCGACTGGCTGGTGCGTCTGCTGTACGCTTTCCAGGACGATTCCAGCATCTACCTCGCCATGGAATATGTTCCCGGTGGTGACTTCCGCACTCTTCTCAACAACACTGGTGTTCTGCACAACCGCCATGCCCGTTTCTACATTTCCGAAATGTTCCTCTGCGTTGACGCTCTGCACCAACTCGGCTACATTCATCGCGACCTCAAGCCCGAAAACTTTTTGATCGATAGCACCGGTCATGTCAAGCTCACCGACTTTGGTCTGGCCGCTGGTTTCCTGGCCCCGGCCAAAATCGAGAGTATGCGCATCAAGCTCGAGGAGGTTGGAAACATGCCTCGCGACGCTATTCCCTTTGGCAGGCCCATCGAAGAGCGTTCGCTAAAGGAGAGAAGAGAAGGATACCGCAGTCTGCGTGAGCGCGACGTCAACTATGCAAAGAGTATCGTCGGAAGCCCAGACTACATGGCTCCTGAAGTCTTGAAGGGCGACGAGTACGACTTTACCGTCGATTACTGGTCTCTTGGATGTATGCTTTTCGAAGCTCTTGCTGGCTACCCACCATTCGCCGGTGCCACAGTTGACGAGACATGGCAAAATCTGAAGCGTTGGTCATCCGTCTTGCGCAAGCCCGAGTACGAAGATCCCAACTACTTCCTTTCTCGCCGTACATGGGATCTGATCACTCGCCTCATCTCTGGGAAGAACCAGAGACTGCGCGGTATGTCACAGGTCAAGGCACACGCCTACTTCGCCGAGGTCCGCTGGGAGCGTCTGCGCGAGGAGCGGGCTCCTTTCGTGCCTGAACTTGACAGCGAGACTGATGCTGGATACTTTGATGACTTTGAGAGCGAGAAGGATATGGCCAAGTACAAGGAAGTTAAAGACAAGCAAAAGGCACTCGAGGAGATGGCCGAGAGGGACGAGAAGATGGGCCGCAACCTGTTTGTCGGTTTCACATTCAAGTAAGTCTTTGTCGGCCCAAGTTTGTGATCTCATACTGACCATACCTCAGANCACCGAAAGCCCGCTGTTGACGAGAATGGCGAACGCACCAGCCCTCGCAAGCCTCTTCCTCAAGTGGATGAGGACTTTGGCACTATCTTCTAGATGTGACTCTTACTCCTTTCTCCTTTGCTTTTCTTTTCTTTTGTATTATCCTAGGGACACGGCGCGGTGTGGTGACGGGTGTGGGAAACTGGCGATCAAGGTTGGGCAGTGACCGAAATGGTGATCGGGTTGATACGACTTTGCATGAGGACATGTTCAGTGTTCGTTTCTTTGTTTTACTTTTTTCTTCTTCTTCCAAAGCAAACAGTCGATTGAATCGATGGTATATTTTCGTGATGTCAGCCAGGAGCCATTGATTCATCCCGTTGACTAAAGAGTTTGAGTAAGACTCCCTACACTGTATCGATTTGTTGATTTTGCTCTGCCATCAAGGTCGAGGTCCGTGCACGGCTTTCGATGTGGATCCTGTCAAGGAAGCGTTTCACGCGGCGGTAAAGACAAAGACAACCTTCCTCCCTGATACTATCGAGCGACACACACCATGATGAGTGGCTCGTGAGTTGACTGTCACCCCTGTAGCCTTTGCTGTCAAAGGTCCATCCGATCAGCATAATCGGCAGCAGAAGCTCTCAAGCAAAAAAACAAGGACGTCCTCAAGGACCCCAGGACAAATGTTGCTACCCATCTCCTTGGCTGTCCTTGCAGCCGCGGTATACGTTGGCTGGCGACAGGAGTCTTCTTGGTTGGCCCCGAAGCATCTTCAGATGCTCCTAAACAGATGGAACTATTATCCTCAAATCTCAACCTTGAATACAACGACGCACGAAAATTGGAACATCTTGTATCATCTTGGAGGCAATGGGCCTTGGATACCCAAAGTAGATGGCGTTTTTGGAGATGAATTGAGTGTTCCTGAAGGCTGCAAGATAGAACAGGTGCATATGGTAAGAGCTATCCAGAGTTTTTTTCTTCTCTCTTTTTCTGTTTACGTGCTTATTCTGGTTCAGATGGCGAGACACAATGAGCGATATCCAACGCGTAGGACAGCTGCACGCAAGTTTTGCTGTCATATCACTTTCCATATTCTCCATCTAACAAGGTGACANGATATGGTCGCTCTTCATAATCACCTCCGTACACTGGACTTTGACCTCCAAGGCGATCTGGCCTTTTTCAGCAACTGGACATTCTTCATGGCCGAGGATTATGAATCCGAGATTGGTGAATTGATCCCTACTGGCCCCTATGCCGGCTCCCTTGGTGCATTCCAAGCAGGCGTTACCCTTCGGACACGATACCCAGATCTTCGCGCCACGGCCATTGCTCACAACCAAACCAACTTTTGGGCCGCAGACTCGCATCGCGTAGTCGAGACTGCAAAGTACTTTGCCGCCGGCTTCTGGGGTATCGACTGGCAGAGCGAAGTTGCAAAATTGCATATCATACCCGAGACCTCGGAGCTGGGCGCCGACACCTTGACCACAGGCAATACCTGCAAAGCGTACCTTGAACCGCACAATCACCAGGGACGCCACAAAGGCTTGCACAAACTCCAGGAATGGCAAAATGTATACATACCACCCATCATCCAGCGTCTGGAGCAGCAGAATCCAGGCTTGAATCTGAGTATCCGAGAAGTGTTTTCCATGCAAGAACTCTGCGGGTTTGAACTACTCGCTCGGGGAAGCAGTCTTTGGTGCAATGCCTTTACACACGACGAGTGGCGAGATTTCGAATATGCTAGGGATATACTCCATTACTACCGCACCGGACCTGGAAACAAGTATAGCGCAGGCCGTGGGTTTCCCTTNTTGAACGCCACTGCCGATCTTTTGTCTTCTGGTGTATCTGCTGGCCCTCTCTTTTTCAGCTTTGTGCACGATGGGGACATCTTGCCATTGCTATCTGCATTGGATCTCTTTCCCTCGTCTGAAGATTTGCCCACGGATACAGCGCCACAAGCCAGGAATTGGAAAACCTCTTCGATTGTTCCCATGGGTGGGCGTGTCGAGTTTGAGCGTATGGTGTGTCCGTATGTGTATTGTCATTCTAACGCGCCGCTGTATCCTAACCATATCTATTGCGATCCACCGCACCCGGAGCCTTATATCCGAGTCGTGGTCAATGATGGTGTTGTACCGATACCTGGTTGCGATGATGGGCCGGGAAAGAGTTGTCCATTGGCTGCGTTTGAGCGAAGAGTCATGCTGAGAGGTTGGGAGGTCGGCGATTTTGGCAAGTTGTGTGGGCTTGAGGAAGGAGCGGCCGATAAGATTACNTTTTTGCATCAATAGTCTGTTCTACTCTCTTGCTTGGAGAAGATGAAAATCCTTTCAACCCTTTCGCATGCCTTTCTTGCCTCCTTTTTTTCATCTTTTGCTCCTTGTTGTCTTGCTTTGNNCTTCCACCGATCCTAACGTTGGCAATCCTGATCGTCTCAAACGACTCAAAAACTTTTCATTCTCGAGTTCTGCTTTTGCAATCCCGAACACTGCAAGGTATATCGGACCCATATCATGCGGACCNNCGCAAGGCCTCGCATCTCCACTCGCCCTCCTCTTATCAAAAAAGTTCTCTAGACAGTTTTGGATAGCTTCTTCAACAGCAACAAGATTCGAACATGTGCATTCCTCCATCAAGGTTCCATCAACAGTGACTTGTTCGTATTGGGCTCCCTCAAACTCTGGCATCTCTTGCAGTGTTGGAGGGGCTATTCTTGTGGTTTTTATTAGGTAGGCTTCGTCGGGGCTAAAGTAAGGGGTGCTGATGTATAGTTCATCTGTTGTTGCCAGTGTGCGTAGCTCTGCGGCGCGATCGGTGGATATGTTGCAGAGATCGTGGAGGAGAATGTGGATCTTGTACCATAACTCTTTGTTTGCGCGGAGGGAGGAGAGTCCTTGTGTAGATTCGATTTTCTGGATGGTTGTAGAAGAGTGGGTGCAGAGATGAGGGTTTCTTCTATGCGTGTTTGTGTGTTTGTGTGTTGAGAGGGATGTGACGGAAAGCTGAGATGTGGTCGAGAAATCGGAGGGGAGCAGAGAGTTGAGGCTGCCATATCTGACTCATTTGTGCCACGTGGGTATGGCAGTATGTCATTTACGTTGTTTTTATGTCTTACGTACGTGATATGGATTACCGAAATGAGAGTGGTCATGTTTGAGCATGTTCCTATCTACATTTTGATCAACCACATACAACAGGAGTTACTAATGAATCTCTGCATAGTGAGTTTCTCAAGACATGTGGTTGAGTACGGAGAAACATGCTGACCAAAGTGACTCATCTCCTCTCCATGTATGCCACAGACCTAAGTGATCTTTCTCATGCGGGGGTACTGTGACATTGTAAGCTATACAAAGTCACAACTGTTTTCCCGACGGAAGCGTGGTCACAGAGATGCCCTAAAACAGCATTTTCTCCATGACCACTACTGACTATACTCGAAAGATGGAGAAAGCTGGACAAACGGTCTGGCCAAGGGCTGTAGTGGCTAGAAGCAGCAACCTGTCAATAGAGAGTTGCATGTCGCTGCCGGTGATAGAACAATTGTTAGATGGGCGAAAAGGCTCGAGAAAAATAGAGAAGACGATGTTGACAAGTCCACTCTATATATGAAGAAGGTCTTCCTGCTAGGCGCCCTAATAACGAGTATCAAGAACATGATCTTGCATATGGGCCGTGCTTCGGGTGAGAAGCATGACGTTCAATCCGCAGTAAGGATACTGTATAACTGACTCGAGCCTTGGAGAGGACATCGCTGTACCATACATGACAGAAATAACGCGTTCTGTCTCAGCCCTGGCACAATTCATTATCCTGTTCTACCGAAATTCTTTCGGTCTGGAGCGCTACCTGGAAAGAATTGCAAGACAACTCTCTGATCAAGGCCTCGCTCTTGCAGTCACATCCAGTAGGCTTTTGAGCTGAAGCAGGGCAGAAACCTGATCGCTGCTTCCTTTTGTGCCGTGTCAGTATCTCTATCTGTGCCTGATGACTTGCTCCCTCTGGACCTGTTCTCAAGGAATTTCCACATCTGTCAGGTCCAGCCTGATCAGTTGGTTCGTCAAGAAATGCGTGTACCAGATCGAGTCGCCGAGAATATCCTTCTGTCCTTGACCTGGTGGCTGGCCGACAGCGTAGCCGAAGATGCCACTCTCGCCATAGAATGGAACTGTGATTCCTGGAGTGTCAAGAATGACACTGGGTTCAATGACAACACTAACATTGCCCGTCTTTGGATTGAGCACACCCAGGGTGTTCTGCAAAATGTGCGTTGCCCACACATTCCCCTTCAGATCTTGAGCTACCTCGACGGTCTCTGTAGGCGCGTTGGGTTCATGATATATAGTCACACCGCCGGTGCGCGTGTTGATACCACTTATCGTGGAGGAAGTCGTGCATGCAAACCAGAGAGTCGTGCTGCCATCTTCATTCGTAGTCTCGGCGCGTACGACTAAAGGTTGTAAAGCGTCCAAGGGCAAGTCGAACTCCTCGATCTCGTGAGTATGACGATCCAAGCGACCAACTTTTGAAGCGCCGAACTCTAGGAACCAGATGCCATCATCGTGTTGGGAGTAATAGATGCCAAGAGGGATTGAGAGGAGCGTAGGTACAGTCCAAGAAGTGAATTCATGTGTCTCGTAATCGAATTTCGTGACCTGGTTGCCAGTGGTCTGGGTGAAGTAGATACCATCCGGAGCAGCAGTCAAGTCATTTAAAGGTTGAAGATTTCCCAGGATGCTCAAAAGCGATGGAGGAGGAGTAAAGACGACTGTCTCGCCACTGCGAACATCGTGACGCACGAGCTGGTTATGAGCGCCGTTGCTGAAGTACATGTATCCATCATAGCCAGTGCGGATGGCGCACGACAGAAGCTCGAATTTTGCGTGACCGGGTAGCGGTAGGGTGAAGTTGTCTAAACCTGGCACTGTGAATGGAATGTCATACTCCGTAAATTCACCGGTGTTTTGGTTGAATCGCGCGATCTTGTTGGCAAAGAACTCTTGCACGTATACAAAGTTGTCCGGTCCAATGGAGACGTCACATGGCCCTGATACGGCAGTAGGAAGCTGCCATGAGGTGAATGCGGAACCCGGAATGTCGAGTTGTTGCTGATAGGCTTGCACGCCAGTCACCGTCGCGGTAAGCGTCAACACAGGAATAGAGAATCTCATTGCAATGATTGAAACCAATAAGTGTTGCCTGGTATGACTGGTTACCAGCAAGAAGACTGTGGCCTATAAGTACAACCAAGCAGCTGGCTGATCATCACCACCGCCCTAGAAAGTGATCCGCCCGGCGCTGCATTACCTCACTGTCATCGACGATATCTGTACACAAATTCACGGCCAACAATGCCTGATCTTCGCCGTGTTGTAAATATCGGGAAGACGCTCAGCAGAAAACGCAGATCCTCAACCAAACTGTCCTCGCCGGCTCCGGCGATCTCGAACTTACCATCATACAAGCACGCAAATTCGTGAATTGAATCATAGATTGCCATATTAGGACAGCGCATTGATCGTAATGAAAGGGCAGGTCATGGCGACAGAACATGCAACCCGTTAGTTGCGAAGCGCAGAAGGAAGCGTTCTTCTTTGTGCTTGATGTCGCATATGTAAATGCGGGCGCAGGAAGGAGCGACGGAGGGTCAACGCATCACGATTGCCATTGCGATTACATAGACTTACAAGACTACTACGAAGCTTTCTAGTATAGTCATGGCGAGCGACTGGAATCGGGACTCTGCTGTTGGGATGCGACTTCCCTTTTGGAAGCTCAAAGGACACATGGATTTGGACAAAGACCTGAGTAGTTGCTGGTGCAAACCGGTCAAAGATTTTGATAACAGAAGGTTGATAGATTCCAAAAATTTTGAGCGTTAAGCACATACGGCCACAGTCAGCTGAAAACTGGGCATCCCGTCCGCTCTGCCATACATAAGCAGTTGAACGGCAGATTAGTACTACGGTGGGTGACCACGTGGGAATCCCTGCTGCTGTATGTTTTGTTTTTTCTCTCCCATCTTTTTGCTCTTCACATATCTGTAGCAAAAAGGCGAGTATCAAGACACCACACGAGCACTGTACAAAGACGTTCAAGCGTAGATATACCACAGAAGCTGGAGACATCGTTGGCTGATTGACTTGGCTACGACCCCACTGACCCGCCCTCCTCGATTCATACCTAACTATTTCACGTCAACACAACACAACGAAGCCGTACTCCAAACAAATTTCATCGTACTCACGTCACTTCAAATCGATTCTCTGTTTTTCCCTTTTCCTTGCCCTCAACTGCCAACCAAAGACACCCTCATCACCTCGAAACATTGTCTTACCCCCAAACGCCATCATCTTCGCTTCCTCCGCAGTCCACCAGCCAAAATATCATCTAGGGCTGAGCCACAGCCACGAGCCACCGTTTTTGGCGAAAAGGGTTAATTTGTTTTCCCTTTCCCTTCTTCGCCGTTGCAAGCCTTCGCCGTTGCTTCTATCGATTTGGGGCTTGTGTGGCTTTGAAACATGGCACCATGCCCTGACATATTTGGAACCTGGAACAAACAAGGTCTGGAAGCAGGAACAGGGTAAGCCACCGATCAGTTCAAGGGTTTTGTTGCGAGTGGCTGAAGGACTAGAGATGAAGACTTGGAAAGGTAGGTTTTGTATGTGGAAAAAAGTGGTTTTGCGTATGTACAATGGCTATCTAGTGAAAAAGGACAAAAAACACCTTGCTGGTTGTAGTATGAAGGAGTGAGCATCGTAAAGCATTCTCAATTCTCAAGCAGGAAAGAGCAAAGGAAGAAATATCAAGAAAGAAAATCCCAGGTGCTGTCAGGGTCCCAATGCGCGCGCGCTGTCTATCGTTCTCTAAAACTCCTCATGAAATGAATGTCTTTTCTGTAATCGTCATGCTTTGATCAGATGCGTTTAGCATTTACCCTGGTCAAGAGTCTGGCGAGTGTACTGGTAAGACTGTCTGCAGTCGTACTTGTTGTTGCCCGACCAGCCACCGGTGTAGGTAGCGTAGCTGGTGCTGATGCTGGCATCGTACAGAGCGCAGTAGGTACCGTGAGGAACACCGTTCTTGTGCAGGTAGTAGGCGTTGAAGCTGTTGCAAGGAGTGAACCAGTTCTGGCCGGCGGCAATGGCGGTCTGCTTGTTGAGCTTGTGCTGGTAGGCAGCGTAGTCGCCGCAAACCTGGGGGTTGAAGGGGCCGGGGAAGAACTTGGAGCCCATCCAATAGTTGGGAGCGTTGATGGCCTTGCCACCGCAAGTCTTGGGGCCGCCCCAGGTAGGCTGCTTGGTGCCGGAGGTGGCAGTGGCAGAAGCGGCAGCGGAGGAAGTGCTGGAAGACTTGGAAACCGAAGCAGAAGCAGAGGCGGAAACAGAAGCAGAAGAAGATGCGGAAGAAGATGCGGAGGTGACGCTAGACAGGACAGAAGAGACAACAGCAGTGGCGGTCGAGGTGGAGTTGTCGACGGGGTCAATGATGGTGGGAGGAAGAGTGGTATTGGTGGCATCGTATCCGTTGGAGCCGGTGACAACAACGTTGAAGTCCTCGCGCCAGCCGCCCTGGTTGGTAGCAGTGGAAGCATCAAGGTTGGATCCCCACAGAGTGCACTTGAAGTTGGTGATGGACGAAGGGTTAGGGCACCAGTAACCCCAGACAGTGGCAGCAGTGGAGTCGTTCTTGGTGGGGTTCTGGCTGGGATCACGCTCGATGTAGATGTTGAAGGCAGTGCAGAGGGCGGTAGTGTCGCAGTGGGCAGCACAGTCGGCAACGCTGTAAGAGGTCAAAGTATAGAGACCGAGGTAGGAGTTGGCGCTGGAAGAGGCGTTCAAGTCGCGGAAGGTCTGCTGGTAGGCGTTACCGGCTCCATTGTTGCTGGCAACGACGGTAGGGGCAGCTTGAGCGAGGCCGTGGAGAGTAGAGTTGGACAGGAAAGCATCAGTGGTGTCGGGGGTGATCTTGGGACCATAGCCGTCGGGCTGGGGTGCGCAAGGGTCCTCGGGGTTGATAAAGCCGCAGTAGGTTCCGTCCTCGGGGGTGGTAGGGCAAGCAGAGCTGGAAGAGCTGGTGCCAGAGACAGTGTTGACGGTGGCAGTGCCGGAAGAGGTGGAGGAGGCAGCCGAGGAAGAGCTGGAGCTGACAGCGACCGAGGAAGAAGAGCTGGAGCTGACAACGACTGAGGAAGAAGAGCTGGAGGAGGTGGAGGCGGCCTTGGAGGCAGAAGACGAGGAAGAGGCTCCAGTGGTGGGAACGTAGTAGAGAGGAACCCAGGCGCACGCAGAAGGGACGGTGGGAGCGAAGTAGAGCTTGCCGTCGTTGTTGCAGGTCATGGCGTTCTGGAAGACACCGTTGGCCTTGCACTCCAACCAAGTCTGAGCAGTGTTCTGAGTGCAGGTGATGAAGCTGTACTGAGTAGAGACAGTGCTGAAGTAGGTCCACTCGGGGTTGGCGCTGGTACCACGGTTGGCAGCGTAAGCCTGGCCAGCCTCGTAGAGGTAGCCGGTCTTGGGGTCGAGAGAGAATGAGACAGCAGAAGCCTTGTTGGAGGAGTAGCTGGCAATGCCATCTTGTCCGGAAGTGCAACCAAGGTAGTTGTTGTTAGCGTCCTTCAGAAAAAAAGAGCTAGCAGTGGTAGTGGCGGCGGCCGAAGACGAAGTGGTCTTGGTGCTGCTGGTGCTGGTGCTGGTAGACTTGACAGTGCTGGACGTGGTGGTGGTAGAGCCACCGCAGTAAGTACCGAACCAGAAGCAGTACCAGGCGTTGTAGACATCACGCTTCTCCACGCTGCGCTTGTTGACAACCTGGGCAGGAGCGGTCGAGACGGCAGTGGCAGTGGTGCTGACAGCAACAGAGATAGACTGAGCAATGGCGGAGCTGCTGATGGTGACGGTCTGGTTGGAGACACCGTTCAGGACAGGGGCAGTCTGGACAGCAGGAGCAGCAGCCAGCTGGTCGAAGTCGAGCTGCTGAGGAGCAGGGGATGCGGCTGCAAGACCGGTGAGGGCTGCAGCCGACAGGAANNAAGTTGCGGCAGTGCGCATGTTGATCGATTGGTCAGGAAGTTGTTAGTGTTAAAGAAAGTGGTGGAGTTGGTAGTTGATTGCTTTGTAGAGAATGTATTGGGTGAGGGGGTTGCACGAAGAGAGTGTAGGAGATGAGAGAATGATTGAGATGCTGATGATGAAAAGGAAGTGATATGGAGGAAGACGAAGACTAGATATATATTCGTGCTGGTGACGGGGTCGATTCGTGGCTGTAGGCATTTGGCATACCATGTGGCCTGGGCACTTGACAAAGTTGACATCAGCAGTGCTTGGTTGTCTCAGAGGTCCCTGCCACAGAGCCGGAAGTATAAACTCGACGGTGGGCGAACGCCATGTCTATGGTCATGGCCGAGTCCTTTGAGATGTCTCAGAAGCCGGGACCCTCGATCCGGCTTTACAGTGTTATTTCCTTCTGCTTCGGGCATGGGTCTTGCGGCGACAGAGCCTACCCCCGTGGAACTGAAGAGGTTAGGGTCCTCAGACTATCGAATGCGGCGGTATGGCTTGCCATGTCGTGATTATGCTTGTCTGTTCAGAACGTCGTCCATAGATGGTGCTGTGGTTTGCTCTGCGCCCTGTACAGCCACGAACTTGATCTCGGCATCGAAATCCAGCGGCAGGCTGGATTGTATCAATCGATCGGCTGATGGAAGATTCGACGGTTGAACTTCTACTTGGAGTAGTAGTAGTCAACGTGCAGCGGTCCGAGCAGGTGAAAACGAAGATGAAATGTTTGTGATCATCGCTCCTACCTAGAGCAGTTGCCAAGCGCGGTCTGCACGGCCATCCGGTACTCAGACCCCCGCCCACTCTTGCTCCTGCCCAGTATCGTCAGGCTATCGCGATGCGCCTGAATCAATTTGTATGACTGAATTCTGGCAGACAGGACATGCCGTATCTTGTTTGGCGGTTGCACAGCGTGGCAATGTAGGACTACTCACAATGTATCTCATACTACAAACTAGCAATCTTGACGTGTGAGCAAAGGCATAGGCTTCAATACCCAAAGGCCGTCGACGATTTTCCGGCACGGCATGAGCCCTGGCACCGACCGCGCGCACGGAGCAAGTCCAACGCTCCTCGCTCGACTCTTCTCACCATGGTGGTTCGATTCAACAAGCCATCACCGTGCATGTATCACGTACACGTGCATGTCGCGACTCGCGATAAACCAGATGTTCCTATCTGTCTGCCTGTCAGTCGCTGTTCTTGGTCAGTGTTGACATTGGCACAGGCGAGACCTTTGGAGTAGCTTCTTCGTCTGAGACAAGGACGTAATCGATCTGATCTGTCTTTTCGACATCATAGCCCTATACGACTCCCTCCTCGGATGCATACTCCCGATGCCAAGCTGACGAGCAGAAGAGTCGTTTCTACCGAGCGGCGAAAGCGAGCCTTCTTGAGTGCGTGTACCTACTACCTGGCCATGTGCCTTAAAGCAGTTTCGTCGACCGCTGCAACCGGTGTCGGGCAACGTTGAATCTCCTTCAACCGTCCCTGCCACAACCAATCACGACCATTTACCGGAAGGCTGGTATCTATTTTTGCTTGTATCTCAGTACATCCAACACTGTCCTGTCTGCGATCTTCTTCGTCGACTCTGCCGTCGACTCTTCGATCTCATAGCAACTCCTCGCCGACCCTTCTAGCCGTCAATCAACAAAGGGAGACTTTTTGACTATTGATACAAGCCAAGAACTCTGACCACAAGGATCTGGCCGTTGACCCCTTCGGCTTCTGCGAGACACTGTCTCAAATGCTGTCCACTCGGGACCGAACTCACCGTTCTGATTTGCCCGACCGCTAGCATTTAATCTTCTGATGGCGCACATGTGTCAGTCCAGGTTAACAACACATCTTGACATGACTTGGCGCATCCTTCCATATCCAAGACATGTATACAGACTCGAGCATTGTTTGACCTCAGCTCCATGTTTCATACTGGATCTGCATGGAAGCGTCAACCTTCTTCGTTTGCTGCTCAATCAAGCAGGTACTCTGTATCTTGGCACAGTTAGTTGTTGAGGCTCTCTTGCGTGACAACAACACAAAAACCTCGAGAAGGACGAACCTTACTTCCGAATTATCCGTACCTTGCATGACGGGCCGTCCAGATACCCTTCTTCTGGGAATCGATTACTCGATCGATATGCTTGGCCGATGTAAGTCGTCCTGATAGTTCATCTGACAATTTAAGTCTCAATAGGCGGTCCGCAGCTCACTTTCGTTTTTGTCTGGCAATAACATCCCTGCACAACTTTCAACCTTGTCCAAAGGCGACTTGCACTTGCTGCACTCAGGAGGCGGGATATCACCTTCAAAACCCTCGGAAAAGTCAAACGCTCGGAGTTAATGATGCTTCTGTCCGGGGGCTACCTAGATCTCTGCCGCCCAAGCCTCGGACCAAACTTTGCTTAATTTAGCAGGTGCATCATTCTGCATTCGATGAGTCTCCTTGATCACATCTCCGCCCTGGCGGTATGTGGCGGATTCATCACCAAGTACCTATACGAGCACTGGTTCTAGAGCACATCTACTTCAGTGCATCGAAAGTATATCGAAAGGCATCCTGCATCTGGTTTTATCGCTAGAGAAGTCGCGCTTCCCCTTGCAGACACTCTCAACTTGTTATCCTCACATTCCGAGCTCCTATACAGCAACCGTATTGTGCTGTCGGGATCACTCGCAGACATCACGACTCTAAAGAAGCTCAAAGATGTCTCGAGTACACGCTCCCTGTTCGGCGCAGGACGTTCAACTCAATCCGATGATGAGTAAACGCCCCAGGTCGTGGATCTAGCCTTACGCGACGAACTCCACATCGCGAACGGTTTTTTACGAACTTTACCGGATACCTGCGGACGTTTCGAAGAAGAACACAGTAAGCCAAGGATCGAGTCTCTGAGACAAGGGGATGTCTTTGTGGATGCTATGGTTTTCGGTGCTATGCAAGCATCGTATGGTCATCCCTCGGCTCGCTGTCCATGGCAAGTAAATCGTGTGGAGTCAACTCCGTGATAACGAGTTTGACAACTTGACCGGTCCGAACAAACCCGTACATCTTTCCTCCAGAGCGTCAGGGTTGGCTCTGACTGCGAGCTTGGATTGATCGAACTTGACCTGTCTGTTCCAAGTATGGAAATTTATGGCGATATACGATACTTACGAGTGTGATTTGATAATCGGAACGAGAGTTTGAATGGAAGCCGCCCTCCATGTGTGCACAGGTATACCATCACTCGACAAATTGCCTGACTCTACCATAGAGAAGGCTCACCCTTGATCTTATCTCTTTGTATTCACGTCTACATCTACTTGGGAGCAGTTGACCACATCCACTCAATTCATAAAGCTTCGTCTTTTGCTGTCCTAGAGGCCGCCTCTGTGTTGTATTTGTCGCGACTTCGGATCACAGTTCATCTTTGCTTCGTGATCGGGCATGTTTACGCTCAAGGCGGTCGTAACTGCTTCCTGATTGAGCTGCGTGAGATGCTTGTGTGGATTTTTGGGAAGCAGTGAAGGGCAATCAAGATCGTCATAAACAGCCGCTTTGGTACAGCCCATTGTTCGTCACCTTCATCACAATCATCAGTAGTTCTTGCTTCTGACATTACTGCGTTCACCACCGTCCTTTTCTGTTCGTATCAGGCTTCATACAGTCGTAGCTCCGCTCAGCTCGCCATGCCATATCGTGTAGAATGTGTCCACCCCAGTATTGTTGTTCTGGTAGAGTACATTCTTATGCACTTTTATGCAATGGTCAGATGGCTGTGGGTAGCACCCTGTCTATAGTGCTCTGGACTCGAATGCGAACAGCAAATGTGGATAGACAGCGAATCATACCTCGTACGGGCTCCGAAGATACTCTAATCTTGATCTCTAGTACCAAACACTTGTATGTCGCTTATTTGTGCTTTCTGCATGATCGAGATGAATATGCTATCGAATTGACGAGTTTTGCCTGACTCTCTCATCCTCGAGTGTTTCCAGACGTATATTTAGGCATTACAGTCGCGAGAGAGGACCAGCCAAGCCGAGACTCACACACAAAAGATGGCTTACTAGACAAGTACATGTCATACATAGTCTCGAGTCTATAGAGCATACCATTGACATGCTATAGCAGTATATGTCAAAACAGTGATAGCTGTAGGTACCACCCTGTCTCTGGAGCAGCTTTCGAGATCATTCGACAAAGACAACAAGTACGTCTAACTACCTACTCATATGCTTGGATAGTATCTGAAAGGAGCAGAAACGATGTTAGAAGAGTTAGTATCATGATAACAGACTGTTTACGCAGGATATGCTTGTCGGAGTCATGTTGGACTCGTGACCCTGTCTCGCAGCAGCATGTATGTTGTGATGCAACATATCAACATTCTGAATGTTGGACTACCTTTGACGCACTTGTCACAGACCGAGTGATGTGGTCGCCATAGCAAGAGAAAAGAAGGATATAGGGACATCCACATGATCTTGGCCACACATGCTTGACGGCAAGAAAAGGTATGGAGCAAGTAGCCAAGCAGTGACAGAGATGCAAACAGAAGACACATACAAGAAAAGATGGAAGGAGCGGCATAGGATCTACAAGTGACAAAGAAAGAGCAGTCGTATGAGATATGTGAGATAAATGGCCATGTTAGACGGATGCACGACATAGCCAACAGAGACCCAGCAGCAGTCGAATTATGTACAAAGTCGCCATGTAGCAGATTATATGCTTCTACCACATAAACACATTGCGAACAAGAATACCATTTCTGCACAACATTGTACAGTACCCTGGATCCGGAAGACAACCGTGGAGCCAAGATATACAGGTCACAGATCTCGGTAAACTAGCATCGAGGACGGGATAGGGGCGACGAGATCCTGTATGACAAACAGAACTACATAGCAGAAAGTATTTGTGGGTAAAGTAGTCTTTGCCCTAAAAAGTCCTTCACCAGGTACATGTATCGATATCCGCGGAAGGAGGTGTGGACCACATC